CATCAGTTTGAATACCTTTTGTTTGGTCTGCTTTTCACCAGACGACTATTTTATTTTTATTCTAGTTCTCTTATTACACTGAAGTCGTGTTTAAGACAGGGGGTGGGCAATTATTTTTTCAGAAACAAAACAGAAACTATTTTTAACTAAATTCTGCATAATATTAATTGTATTTCTTTATAAAAAGCAGTAAATATCATTGTTTTGATGAGCTGCTCAGACTGGAAATAGTTTATGTTCTGACTAGGCAATGAAAAAATGAGGCTGCTGAACAAAAAATGTCGTTAAAAAACACCTAAATAAAAATAAATAATAAAAAAATTAAAATAAATAAATAATTAAAAACAATGCAGATTTAGTCCAGGCATGAGGTAAAATTATAAAATATGTTTGTTTTGTAATTCCAAATGAGCTTAAACGAGGACGGTCAGAGTCAAACAAAGAACCGTATGTGACTCGAGAGTGCCTAAGTTTGGTTTACAATGTGTTATTTATTCATTTAATTTATTTTTTATTACTTTTTATGAGTTTTTATTAGGCCATTACATCATTGCAGGTTGAGTTTCCCCCGCGGCGGCAGAGGGCGCTGTTTCCTCCGCACACACAGCGCCGGAAGTGGGTTTGTTTTGGTTCTGGAGACGCACGCGACGCACGTTTGAGCTAAAAATAAAACGAGTTAAAAGTCAAAACTCCGCGGATAAACGTGTTCCGGGATAACTCCGAGGATGATGCAGTTTGTGAAGAAAAGTCCGTGATTTTTGTGTGTTTTTTAAAGCGGGTAAAATGAGCTCGCGCGTGCTGCTGTTCTGGCCCAATGTGATCGGTGAGACACGAGACCTGCAGATAAAGACACACTACGGAACTTTGGTCTAATGCGGAGGGACATTAGTTATTTTATGATTCAGATCCAGTGTTGTGGAGTAACAGATTACATGTACCAGAGTTATGTAATCAGAGTACAAATGATGAGTAACTGTATTCAGTTACAGTTACTGTTTCAGTGAGTGGGAATTGGATTACAGTTACTTTGTTTTTTTGGTAATTCCACTCATTGCCGCAAATAAACCAGGACTAAAACCAAGTCTAAAATAGATCTAAACCAGGTCTAAACCAGGACTAAACCAGGTCTAAACCAGGACTAAACCAGGTCTAAACAGGACTAACCAGGTCTAAAACCAGACTAAACTAGATCTAAACCAGGTCTAAACCAGGACTAACTCTAAACCAGGCTAAACCAAGACTTAAAAACCAGGTCTAAACCAGGACTAAACTAGAAATCTAAACCAGGTCTAAACCAGGACTAAAAACCAGGTCTAAACAGACTTAAACCAGGTCTAACCTGAAACCAGGTCTAACCAAGACTTAAACAGGTCTACAGGTCTAAACCAGGACTAAACAAGATTTAAACCAGATCTAAATAGATCTAAACCAGGTCTAAACTAAAGATTAAATCCAGTCTAAACCAGGACTAAACCAGGGATCTAAACTAAGACTTAAATGTTAAACCAGGACTAACCAGGTAAAGACTAAACAAGATTTAAAACAGGTCTAAATTAGCTAAACCAGGTCTAAACTAGATAACTCTAAACCAGGTCTAAACTAGAAAGCAGTCAGAGAGCGCAGACCTCCGCCAAGGACTACCCCCATTTTTTATATAAATTGCGATAAAATCAGTCTTCTGGATCAGATCCGGATCAGCCTTTGGAATATGAAAGAGGATCCCATTGTCCATCCCTGAGTCAAATTTCATGGGGTTTGGTCAATAATTAACCCAGATATTGAGAAACAAAATTTTTGGCCCCCATTTACCACAATGTTAACTAAATTTCAAAGTGATCCAGAATCCAGGATTTCTTCCGGATCACCCCCAAAATGAAATCAGTTCTTCCTTTTCACATTTCCAACAAATCCTGAAAATTTCATCAAAATCGGTCAATAACTTTTTGAGTTATGTTGCTAAAAGGCAAACAAACAAACAGACAAACAAACAAACACCAGGAAAAACATAACCTCTTTGGCGGAGGTAATTATTTCTAAACCAGGACTAAACTAGATCTAAACCAGGTCTAAATTATTTCTAAACCAGGATTAAAATCAGGTCTAAACTAGATCTAAACCAGGACTAAACCAGGACTAAAACAGGACTAAACCCCGGTCTAAACCAGGTCTAAACTAGATCTAAACTGGGGCTAAAACCAGGACTAAACCAGGACTAATCTGTAGGGTAATACATTTTAAAAGTCACCTTCCCAACACTGTTCAGAAAACACAGAAATATATAAACAATTAACTTAAATCTGATTAAATTTGAAGCTCGTTTCAATCGGGACAAAATGACATTAACAAACTGTCAAATTGTTTATAATCTAATATCTCAATATTTAATTGTAAAAAACTGTAATAACAAAAGGCAGTAAAAGTAATACACATTTTAGTTACTTTCTCCTCCAAACCAACTATTTTTAAATTTTTTTGTCATCAGACTGTTCAAAATTCTGGAATGAAAGAAAAATGAAGCACTTAATATATTTAAATTAAACTGGTGAGCAGATCTAAATACTGATGATTTTACGACATTATAACAAAAAATAAACAAGTATTTTGAAATTCCAAGGTATAAATATTAGTTACTAATTAGTTCTGACCTAAAAATAGAATTTGAGCTTCACAAAAAGTATAATAATGATGAAATGTGAAATATATCTGTACATAAAGTGAAAAACTGTTGTGGGCTCAGCTTTTTTGTAGGGTTTGTTCAGTTTGTAACATTTTTTTCTTTGTAAAAATGCTCAGTGTGTTTTATAAATAAGCCGAGGTATCATTCAAAGGTTGCTGATACTATACATATCTCGATACAGTGATCTTACAGTTTGATACTATATACTTCAAATCGATTTGATGCGGCTCAATTCAAAATCTGTGATAGTAAAAGTCTTTGTTAAATCACTTCTTCTTGTGCAAAGTTCATATGAAACACAAACATTTTAATCATCAAAACAGTGAAAATGTCAAATGTGTCGAATAAACGAGTTTCCTTCCTCTGAACAAACAACAAAACTATAGCTGGAACAAAATAATTTAGTAAAATAAACCAAAAAAATACTCTCTTACACTATTAAATGATACAATATTGATATTCCGATATTTTTGCACACTCCTAATGCCGTCAGAATGTTCAAAATTCTGGAGTGGAGGCAAAATGAAGCAGATATAATATTATATTTAAGTGATTAATTGATGAGCAGATCTAAATACTGATGGTTTTATGACATTATAACAAAAAGTAAACAACTATTTTGAATTTCCAAGGTACAAATATTAGTTACTTTGCTTCTCTGTTAAGAAGGATGGAAAAAAATACAGTTTTCTAACCTCAAAAAAAGGATTTGTCCAGTGAAACCTCGAAATGTGGATCTGTTCTTTCTAAAAATGCTTCGTGTGTATTATAATGTCTTGCCAAAAGAACAAATAATGTAAAATGCAACTGTAAATATCTTTAAACCTTTGACCGTCCTTCCGTGTCTCTGTGTTGTGTTTATTGTTCAGGATACTTCAGGATTCTTCTTCTGTTTGGATCCTGGACTTTTTATGAGACTCCGGCTGTTTTCCTCCCTCTGTACACGGCGTCTGTTCTGCTCGACGGTAACGTGCACAAAAGACACAGAACAGAGACGGTTCTGATGTGAATGTGACTGATAAAGTGTCGTAGTCGTTTCCTCATTTATCTTCTGGAGTTTTCATTAGTGATTCATGCATGTTTGAGTCATTTTTATTCTCAAGATGCCGTCGCTTCAATAATTCTTGTGTTTCTTAGTTGTCGTCCCCAACCTCTGGGCCGCGGACCGGGACCAGACCACGAACGCACGAACTCCTGCTCCCATACGAACCACGTCTCTAAACCAGGACTAAACCAGGACTAAAACCAGGACTAAACCAGGTCTAAAACCAGGACTAACCAGAAAAACCAGGACTAAACCAGAACTAAAACCAGGACTAAACCAGGACTAAAACCAGGACTAAAACCAGAACTAAACCAGAACTAAAACCAGGACTAAACAGAACTAAACCAGGTCTAAAACCAGGACTAAACCAGAACTAAAACCAGGACTAAACCAGAACTAAAACCAGGACTAAAACCAGGTCTAAAACCAGGTAAAACCAGGACTAAAACTAAACCAGGACTAAAACCTAGGAACTAAAACCAGAAACTAAAACCAGAAAACCAGATAAAACCAGGAAAACTAAAACCAAAACTAAAACATGACTAAACCAAACTAGGAAAACCAGGTAAAACCAGGTCTAAACCAAGACTAAAACCAGAACTAAACCAGGACTAAACCTGGACTAAAACCAGAACTAAACCAGAACTAAAACCAGAACTAAAACATGACTAAACAAGGACTAAAACCAGGACTAAACCAAAACAAAATCCGGTCTGTGGTGCAAAAAACCATTGAGGACCACTGTTCTTGTGTATTCTTTTATATAATGTGGGTGACGTAGGCTTGTGGGCGGAGCCTTGTACAGGCTCGTACCACTAACTGTAAGGATGGTTCGAATAGGGCCCAGGAGAGATCACTAGATTACTCAAACATGCATTAGAGTAGATTTATTAATTGGTAATTAACAAAATCTGTAAATGTAGTGAAAGTAAAACAGAGTCCAGTCAGAGTCTTTGTCTAAAAAAACTGTTGACATCTAAAGCCTTTTCAGACACGTTTTGGATGATTGAACAACGTTATAATTAGGGGTGTCAAATTATCGCGTTAATTGTGATTAATTAATTACAGTCATATTTAGCGCGTTATGTTTTTTAATCGTGTTAATCTCATTTTTAATCTCTAACTTTAGTGTTTCTGTATGTGAGTTTCTTTATTATAAAACCTGTTTTTATGTGTTGTTGGGACAACAACACACACACACAAAACACATTTATACATTTTTTTATTTTGGTAATTCCACTCATTGCCGGAAACCCACACAAAACGCGCGCAGTAACA